TGGGACTCAGTCAGACTTTCAATGTGACTACTATTTAAGTTTCTTAATCTCACTGGGCTTCAGTTTTCCTGTCTATACAATGAGAATGTTTGTAGAAAACTGGTAAAGGTTCAAGAGATGAAAATTATTCATTGACAGCCAATCATCAAATCTAATCTGGAACATTCTCTCTGATACTTCATGGATCTGGAATTTCATCGATGTGGGCACTGCCATTAGTAGTGATCACAACATCTCTCTCCCCCTTTGAGCAACTTTCTTCCAAGCCCTTCCATCAGTACTCCTCAGGGAGTTCATTTAATGTGTGTGGGGGGAGGGGATTTCTGTCTATAGTTCTTCTGACATATTGTGAGTATCAGCAGAGCATGGTGGCTGTACACCACTTGCCCTTTGCTCTTGCTACATGACTAGCTTACCAATAGAATTATTTCTGCTTTCTAAAAACTAGTCTAGTTAACAACAGGCTGGTCACTAGTGATGAATTCTTTAGCCATAGTATTCCATAAAACATATTCCCTTACTTTCCAAAGTGCTGCTTTTGCTGCTGTTGTTGTTTTAAGGAATGATTGCGATGGCTTGAATAAAAGAATAAAGAAAAGCACAGGAAGAGAGAGATTATATGGATGTGCTATTCAGGAAAAGAAGGATTACTGTGAGTCAGTCTAAGCTTTTTATTAAAGGATATCTTTATCCCAGATAGAAGAAAAATTGGCAATGTTGCAGTGAATTGCTGTTATAAAAATAAATGTTTGACATCTGGATTCAATCTATGTAAGGAAAACATCATGTTATACTCAGGAACTGACAAAAGATAGTTTTAAGAGAAATATTCCTAATAGGAAAACTATCATAATAAAATACAAAATTGTTCTTTAATATGTTTCAATAAAATGACTGAAATAGAATCTGATTGGACAAGTTCATAGGTTCTAACTGTTCCAATTTAGCAATGTTTCAACTTTCATCCCACCTTGTTGCATGTCTTGGCAGCAATTAATTGTATTGAATTGTTATACTTGTCACCAAATGTGTTTCCTCAAATGGGTTCAAATGGTCTTTTTCTGCTATTAGTACTTCTAAATACAGAGATAAGACATCTTTGAAAATACCCATTTCATTCTTGATTTATTTTATCCTCATCAGTATATTTTATAGGCACACAAAGAACTTTCTGACCTAATATAAAATACTAGATAAAAAGAACATTTTACTTGTATGTTTTGGAGAATAATAATAGCACTTGTCTCACAGAGTTGTTGTGAGGATCAAATGAGATAATATTTGTTTTTTTAAAAAAGTGCTTGGTCTGGTATCTGGTACATAATAGGTACTATATAAATGCTCCTTTCTCTCTTTTCTTCTTTTAGAATTTTAGTGTTCCTGGAGACCCTGAGTAGTCATATATACATATGTGTATATGTACATGTATAATCCTGCTCATTAATAAAGCAACGTATCCTTTTAACTCACAGAATGACTAAATCAATAATGCATTTCACACATGGAGGTTATTGGTTTGTTGGGATTTTGGTTATATAAATATTAAGAAAGCTGGTGACATTTTTAAGTGTTCAGATATGGCTAATACATATAAGTACAGCATTCTCCTGTCAAGGAAAAACTGTTCTAATTTTTAAAACCATAACAAATAATTCATATGCAATTCTGTCTTTCAAGTAAAGTTTAAATATTAAATGACTGGTAGAATGGGTGAGAAGGAAATGAACAGTGAAGTAGTTACTCTCAGGTCTATGGCTTGGGTTGTAAATCCTTTGCTGCCACCTTGTGGGATTTAAGGATCCCAACATAAAGTTTTAAAGGAAATTCTAGGGCTTTACGAAAGGGAAGGGAACGAGCACTTATTAAGCACTCATTATGTGCTAGACATTGTACTAAACACTTTACAAATATTTCGATGGATCTTCACAACGACTCTATGAGGTAAGTAACATTATCATCCTTATTTTACAGTTGAGGAAACTGAGGCAGTCAAAGGTTAACTGACTTGCCCAGGGTCACATAACTAGTAAGTATCTGAAGCTACATTTGAACTCAGGTCAATTTGACTCCAGCATTCTTATCTACTGTGCCACCTAAAAGTCTGGAGTGGGGGGAACTTCTCTAAGAGAAGGTCCAGGTGGCAACTGATTTCATCATCAATAGACTAGACCAAATTTAAAGAGTAACCAGGTTTTAACATGAATGAAAAAACATTAATTAAAGTGTTTACTATGTGTCAGGCACTGTGCCAACCACTAGGGAGACAAATAGAAAACACAGTTCCTTGCTATGCTTAAAAATATAACTGGGGAAACAACAAATATTTGGGAGTGGTGGTCAAGGAAGGGCATATCTGGAGAATCACAGGGATAATGATTTAATCCATAAGACAGTTAGCTGATATGACCTTTACAGGAATACTGGTAGTATGATCATACTGATTTGATTATTGTTGATTGCTGAGCCCAGAACAAGATGAGGGTGGGGGGAGGGAGCTGGACAATGTGGCAGACTGTTTTATTTTTATCAATAATTGTTGCTTGACTTTCCATAGGTTAATCACCAAGTGCTAGTTTTTCTCCATGAATCACAACACAATTCTTGGCACTGTAGTAGGCACTCAAGATACAAATTTGAAAAAGTAAGACAGTCTCTGCCCTCAAAGAGTTTGTTTTCCACAAAGGGGAATATATGTTTAAAAATAGAATATATATTATATATCATCTATTTTTTAAAATAAAATAAAATAACAGATAAAGCATATAAACAAAATAACACTAATAATTTGGGAATAAAGAAGGCACAGTGGATACAGCACTGGGCCTGGAATTAGGAAAATCTGAGTTTAAATCCAGCTTCAGACACTAGCTGTGTGCCCCTGGGCAAGTCAGTTAACTTCTGACTGCCTCAGTTTCCTCATCTGTAAAATGAACTGGAGTATCTTTGCCAAGAAAACTCCAAATGGGGTCATGAAGAGTTGGACATAACTAAAACGACTTAACAAGAAATCAAGGGAATTAGTGGAAATACATTGGGTCCACTGGAGCCCCAAGGTGGAATTGGGTGCACAAAATCAATAACGTTTGGTGGGTCCAACAGCATCAGAGATTGCGGGAAGAAGAAAGCAGGGATCCTGGACCTGGGGACTGGTCCTGCTTCATGATAGATGAGGCAAGGGGAAGACTTGAGCAATTGATGGCGAGCTGATATTCGAACTCCCTGATGCTGGGAAAGGGGGTTTGGGGATATTACTGCTGGTTATTCTGAGTAAATCAGAGGATCTGAGTTGGATGGGGAAGCTTCTGGAGTCATTATAGGTACAAATTTACTGCATTTTAATCCCACCTTAGCCACTGGGTGGCAGTAGGCAAATCCCTTAACCTCATTTTACCACCTTTTCCCTCATAGCACAATACCTTTTTTTATACGTAAAGAAACTGAGAAACTTGCCCAAGGTTTTGTGTAGAATCAAGAGAGCTAGGTTTGAAATTAGGTTCTATCACTTACTAACTGTGTGTGTAAGTTTGAGAAGTCACATCACCTCTATGGATCTCAGTTTTCTCAAATAGAAAATGAGAAAATTGGAAAAACTGAGGTCAAAAGTACTTTTCAGCTCCAAGATTCTGTATGGCAGAATGCAAAGAACCAGGGTGGTGAAGGGATTGGCGATCATGCTAATTTTGGTATCAATTGGGATTATTTAGCCCAGAAAGGAGATTTACAGCAGACTTTATAGCTGCCTTCAAACACTTCACTGACACAAGGTCTTAGAAAAAGGATAAGGTTTGTTTTGTTTGTCTGAAAAGGAGAGGATTAGAAACCATAGGCAGAAGTGGCAAAGAGGGAGACAGATTTGATGTAAGGGGAAAAAAAATTAACTATATAAAAATGGAATGGGCTTTCCTGGCAGGTAGTGTTTTCTGTACTTAAAAACAAATAAACAAACAAAAACAACCCCCCTCAAAAAAAATGCCTAAGGAGGTGGTGCAGTGAACCTGATGGTAGAGCACTGGACTTGGGAGTCAGGAGTCAAATCCAGTGCAAATTGAACCTCAGGCATTTACCAGATGTATAACCCTGGGTAAGTCACTTAACCTTTGTCTGCCTCAGTTTCCTCACCTGTGAAATGGGGAAAATAATTGCATCCACCTTCCAGGGTTGTTGAGAGGATAAAAGGCAATGATTTTATTTGCAAAATATTTTGCAAACTGTGAAGCACTATATAAATGCTAATCATTATCATCATCATCATCATCATCATCATTGTGCTGTAGAATAGATTCTTGCTATTATCCTATGATGATGACGTAAAGTAGATTACTGGATTATCGTTATTACTATTACTACTACTGCTGCTGCTATTATTATTATGCTGTAGAATAGATTCTTGCTGTCATCCTATGATGATGATGATGATGTAGATTAGCTGTTTGGATTATTATTATTATTGCTATTACTATATTATCATTACTACTATGTTGTAGAATAGACACTTGCTGTCACCCTATAATGATGTAGAACAAATGACTGGATTATTATTATTACTATCATTATTATTATCACTATCATTAATATTATCATTGTTGTTATTGTTGTTATTATTATCACGCTGTAGAATTGATTCTTGCTATCGACCTGGTTAGACCAGAAAATCCCGAGGTCCCCTACAACAGAGGAGACCCGGGCCCACCCGGAGGCCGCCCCAGCCCAGACTTAGCACCGCCCCTCCCGACCTCCCTCCTCCTCTCTCTCCACCCCTCCCAACTGAGGCAAGGAGGCGGGGCTAGCGTCTCCCAGACGACAGATTCTGAACTAGGAAGCCAAAAGGAGGAAGAGGCTGATTCCCTCCCTTCCAGCACCAGCTACCGTGACATCACTTCCTACGTCAACCCCGTTTCCCTGGCAACGACCCGGGATAAGAAAGACCTGGTGGGCGGGAGTATTGAGGAGGGGTGGGGAAATTGGGGTGAGCGCGAGGCCGGTTGTTGTGAGTTCACTTCCTCCGCTCCGCCTGTTGCGGAGCAACTGGCTGCTCCCACCCTCTCTCCCGCCTCTACTCTGCGGGGAGAACTCAGTCCAGCGTGTGCCGCAAGGCCAAGGCCAGCGTTGAGCAAGGCTGTGGGGAGAGGGGACGACCTCCCTCGGTCCCTCACACGGACTCTGAGCCTCACCCACCCACCACTCCCGCACCTCAAGTCAGACCTGGGAGCCACCGCGGGACTGGGTACGCGGCCCGGGACCCCGGCCTCGCGGGATCTCTGTGGCGGGGGGGACTGGCGGCCCGGGAGACACCCAGTGCTCTGCACCCCTTAGAGCGCTCCGTAACCGGGAGCTTCTGTGGTTAGGTGGTGGGCTCGGGTGGGGGACTAGATTGGCGCCCGGGATGTGTAGACCAAATGCCCAGGACAGATGCACTGAGCTTCGGATCTTCAGGGTCCTCATCTGCAAAATAGTCGGTACACTCCTCTCCCAAGGTTTGTTGTGAGGATCAGATAGGAGCATGGTAGAAATGCATTGCTCCCCTTTCTTGGGCCTGTGAGTTCCTAAATAGGAAGAACTCTGAAGAAGAAAATCCTTTTACCCCTGCATATCTGCACCTGCTTGACCACTCAATGGAATTGCCTGAGGCACTGAAGTTCTAGGACCTCCCTTCCCCGCCCCGAAAAGTATGGGAGGCGGGACTTAGAGCTAGCTGTGTCTTATTGGCCCCGAAGTTACTGTATCCACGAGATGCCCCTCTGCTATTTTCATTGTTACCCAGAGCACACGAGGATCTTGGAGGTCATCCAATCCAGCTTAGAGGAAGAAAGGGGGGCAGCATCATAAGATGGAAAGAGCACTGCTTTTGAAATCTGAGTTAAAATCCCACCACTACCATTACTTGTCCTTGTGAATTTGGTCGAGTCAGTCTCTGGGGTTCAGTTCCTTTATCAGCAAAATGAGGGAGTGTATTAGGCTATCCTGTTAAGTCCTTTTGAGCTGTAAGTCTCATGTCCTATGAAATCCAGACACAGAAAGGGACTTGTCTAAGGTCACAGAGTCAGGTAGGACAGGCCTCAAACCAGCTAACAAGTCTTAGATGCAGAAGTTTATCAGATCATACATTGAGAACTGGAAGGAATCTCAGTTTCAACTCTCATGTTTTTTTGGTTTTGTTTTGTTTTTTAATCAGTGAGGAAACTGATGATCAGAAAATTCAGATGACTTCAAGATCACACAGGTAGCATTTATGAGAGCCAGGATCCAAAATCACTTAATCTTTAACACTGTCTATTCCAAGCAATACCTGAACAAGAATTCTCTCCACATCATTTCTAACAAATAGACATCCAACCTTTCATTTGAATCCATTTCCTCTGATTCCAAATGCAACATTTTTCCCACTGAAGAGATTACTTACAGCATGACTAATAGCTCACATTTATATTGTTCCTTAACATTTGCAAAATTTTACATTATTATCTCATATGAACTTTACAATGACACTGTGAGATAGATACTTTCATTTTCTCCATTTCATGGATGGGTCAACTGAGTTTCAGAGAAGCTAATGATTCAGTGAGGGATTTGAAAACATTTTTTCTTGACTTAAAATACAGCAGAGCAGTTATGCCAGTCTTTTTCTCTACTGAGGCCCAGAAAGTCAAGTGATTTAAAACTCCCAGGCATAAGATTATAGAGTCATAGATTCAGTGCTGGAAGGGACCTTAGACATATAGAACAACCTTTTCCTTTTATAGGTAAGGAAATGAAGGCCCAGAGAGGTGAAGTGATGTCTAACTCCAAGTCAAAGGATGATAAATAGGGTTTTTGACATTGAAGGGACTTTGGAAGTCATCTAGTGCAACTCTCATTTTATCCAAGGAAGAAATTTGGGGTCCCGAAGAGTAGAAATGACTTTTAACTATTTTAGTAGCAGCCAATAATAGAGATGGCTCCTCCTTATAGGAGGGTGCCCAGTAGGGCTATTAGTACAGTTAAGAATTAGGCATAATGAGCTTTTTTTTTTTTCCTGGAGGTAGTGGATATTGGAGGTATTCAAGTAGAAGTTGGATGAATGCTTGTCGGAGATGTTATATGACAAAGTAATACATTGGAATAAATGATCACATAGATCCTTTCCAGTTGCAAGTCTATGAGCAAGGATCTTGAAGGTATTCAGAGCTGGAAGAACTTTGGAGATCTACTCCAACCACCATTTTATGTGAGGAAACTAAAGACCAGAGAGGGGAAGTCACACTTGCCAGAAGTCACAGCTAATAAATGATAGAACTTGCATTAGAAGCCAGGTTTTAGAATAACGAGTATTAAGTGCCAGAAGGTATCAGATAATTTAGTTCAGTGAGGAAGAACCGTGGTCAAGATAAATAAAATGATTATTAACTCATCATCGGATTTAGAACTGAAAAGGACTTTGAAGACTAGTACAGTTTCCTCATTTTGCAGAGACCCTGCAGCTCAGAGAGCTTGAGTGACTTTCTCTAAGATAGTAAGTAACAGCTGAAACTGGAATTTAGGTGTTCTGACACCAAGTTCCAGCATTCTCATCTTTCCACCCTATGTTTAATGGGAAAGATGAGTAAACTTTCTGTTAAAGGTTACTTTTCTGTTCCTATCTGCAGACCCCTTACATTTTAGATCTTTTGTCTAACACATTTCATAAATGATAGGAAATAGAATGAAGGATTTTGAAAAAAAGTAATATCTTAAAGATTGTGTTTGTCTTTCAAAAGACCTGGGGGTAGGTGGGGGTGGTGAGGAACATTACCTTTTGTGTTGCCCTAGAATTAAATATTTCACATAAAAATTTTTATGTCAGTCTTTCACAATTAAGAGTATAAGGAAAGAAATACTGTTTTGCAGTTACAAGTTCTACTGTAGGTATAGTTCAGTGATTTATTATTTCTGTATTCTGTTGTGGGGCATGAATTAGAAAGGGGATCATATTAGATGTAATGTAGGAACAAATTTTAAATCCCTTAAACAAATCTAGTACTTTAGTCCACTCCTCCTTTTCTAAAGAATTGGTTTAGAGTTGACTTTTTATTATTTTTAAGCCTTTGTAAGAAGGCTATAGATATATTATTAAAATATAATTTTGTTATTTTTAATTATGTCAAAGGGAGGCAGCATTACCTAGTGGGTAGACATCTAGTTTTGGCATTAGCCGGATTTGGTTTCAGTCCAGCATCTAGCATGTACTAGTTATGCCACCATGGGCAGATCCCTTAACCTCACAGCGTGCCAGGCAGTTCTCTAAGACCTAAGATTCAGTGATTAATCCACATTGGTGAAGGCGATATTTCCCACTAAGAATTCCAATACTAGGATTTTCTTCCACTTATAAAATTACGGGTCCAGACCAGAAAAATAAAAAAGATTGTCAAATATAAGTATGTTCCAAATTTTCAGATGAAGTTTATATATAATGTATGTATCAACTGAACTAAAAAAATGTCTCAAATCTAATTTTGCTCTTATCTCCCTATATTTTAATTCCCAGCATAGATTGAATCAACATTCTCAGTACTGGCATTGTGTTAACTTAAAGAAGAAAAAAACATTAACATCTATATTTAACCTATTACAAAATCACCATGTCTGATGAATTGTGTGGCACTGTTTTGGCCTATTCCAAGAGTCCAAAAGTCGCCACAAGAACTACTTTCCAGGTAAAAATAAATTCAGTTATTTTAAATTTGTATTAAATTTATATGTGAAACAATGAAAAAGGGATGATAATAACTTGAATAGACTATGGGGAGTGTTTCAGCACAAGGGGTAAAACAGACTGTAATGTTTGACTAGCAGAGAGCTGGCTCAGGTTCCTTGAGGATATAAAGCTGATAAAACAACTGATGGCTTAGCAGCATCAAGGACTGTTACCTCACTCCCTCCTCAACATTTGCTTGGTAGGGAATGTGACAGCATTGCGGGGATTGATTAGAGTTAGCTAGGACCAGGGTAGAATGATTTGTTAAAGGGACAGTTATGAAAGGGAGGTGAAAGAACCGTGGAAGAGGAGGATGATAAGAATTATAGCTACTATCAAAAGATAAGGAAAAGTTAAACTACAGAGGAAAGTAGGTCCAAGTATACTCCTACTCTGCACATAACTCAAAACAGGAGTTTTAGGAAAGGTTTTTAGAACTGAATAATAGCAACATGATGCAAAGAGGCGTAAGCAGAAATAAGAGGGAAACTGTAGCAGATCAAGGAACTTCGTATGAGTGAATTGGGGTTAAGGGGTATAATAGTAGAATGTCTTGAGCTACAGAATGCTTTAGTTGAAGTAAATCATTCATCTCTGTGAAACTCCCCATATTCCAATACAGATACACTTATAAAGCTGCATCTCAGTTTTGGTTACCTTCAAGGTGGTCTGAAGTTGTCACCATGAGTGGTGTTTATATGGAGGAGCATCCTTATTTGAATTAAGAAATTCATCTATTTTTGTAGGTATTTGTTGATTATTTTGGCTGTAATATTACTTCCAACTATAAACATTTAAAATATTAATGAATTAATATTTACATCAGGTTTCTAAATACCTTTTTTACATAAAGCTTAAGGATCTTGTTGCTGATACCTAGTGATTTTTAAGTTTTCTCCAATGTAGTTCACTGCATCTGTGGACTAAGCCTTTAAAAGCATAATATCCATCAAGTCCATATCTGTAACAAAGAGACAAAAACTCAAATTTCTTCCTGAGTTTAGAGCAAGTTGGTTCTAGCTTCAAGCCCAAACTAGAAGAAATTTATTGGAAAAGCATCTTTTGTTCTAGGAACAAATTTATATAAAAGAGTATCTAGATATGAGACCTTCATATTTGAAAGGAAACTTATTGAATTATATCATTTCAGGATGAATTACAGAAAGCAGTTTCAGCTCGTACAGCTCGACAACAAAGTGAAGATTACTCAGATGATTTTGACAGTGATGATATTGGTATGCTAGTCAATAGAAAAAAATAGTCTCCTTCCTCTCTCCCTTCTTTGCATCCAAGCTACAAGAATCTAAATTACACATAGAATTATGCCAATCTAATTGAACAACATAGGCTTATCCCTAACATTTTGCTAAAGACCTTCTTCTGATTTTCTTTGACGTTTTAATGATCTTAGATATGTAGTGGGGGGGGGAGTGTAGAGAAAGATGTTTGCTCTGAGGCTGGAGGGCTAAGAGGCAGCTGAGAATTCATCTGTTCAATGTTGTAATCCTCTCAAGCTAAAGGAAAAGAATTTCCAAAAGGTAAATATATATTCCTACACTTGGAGTGATAATCCTTGAGTCTTTTGAACCAAATTTAAACAACAATTTTTGTAGGAAAGGTAAAAATGATCAGGCCAGTGAAATATAAATACTGGTTTTCAAGTTTGTTTTAATATTTATACATACCTGGCTTTACCCAATAGAATTGTTTGTGAATTTAATTTTTAAGAATTGAAAATTATTTTAAATGTACTATAGGACATCACTATTTTTAGTGATCCTGTAATATAAAGGTATCAAACTTGCAACCAGTGGGTTCATGAGGCCTACATTCCTGAAAGCAGCTGAACCAAATTAAAATGTAATTGGGAAGTATTTAACAAAAAAATTAAACTAATAGTAAGCCCTAGGTAAGATATTTTAAAACTAAGTCAATATATAACTACAGGGATCCTCCCTTACAGATTAGTTACCTGTTTCTATTTGAGTTTTGACACCACCACTGTAATAAACCTTTCATGAATTGTGAAACTGCCATAAGACAGCTGAACACCACAAAATTGAACTTGCTTCAGTGGGACAGATTGGTATTGATTACCATCATTTTCTAATCACTGAATCTTGTTTGCTTTTGAGGCTAATGTCTTGTCACCATGGACTTTTTTGTTTTTGTTTTTTTTAATTGCAGTGTAAGCATTGAAGTTCTTTTCTGTTTCTCAGGTTCTTTGGGAGATTTTTCTGACACATCAATAGATGAAAAGTCAACTAATAAAAATCTTACTAATGAGTTTCATGTGTCAGATGATGAAGAAAAGGATTCTCCAAAAATGACTTTTTTGAAAACTAAGACAACAAACAGCAATGTAACAAAAGATTTAACTACATTTCCCATCAAAACAGAAAAAGAAGCAGGACCAGATACTTTGGAGGGATTTGCAATTAATTCATCGAAGCCTCAAGGAAAAGATCAGGAAATTGAACAAGAAGAAATGAAAACAGTATCTACGCCTAAGCTAGTCAAATTTGTATCATCAGGTACCTCATTTAGTTGCTATTTCTAACTTAACATTTCAGCTTAAAGATTTGTCATTTTGTCAGCATGAACATCCCTGCGTTGATTCACATTGTGACTCCTTTATGCCTTTGGGTTGAAACATTTATCGTCTAATGGCCAATTTTCTGATCATAAGCATTTCCAAACTTTGCCAGTCTGTTGTTCAAATAATAGACAATCAGTGACACAGTGCATACATGAAAGGACCTCCAGAGCTCGTGCTCTGAATGATCTTCAAGAACCCAGGGTCACATTTGCACTGTTATGATGCACTGGAGGCACCCTTCAGTGGAGGAACCAGAGCAGAGGATTAGGACACAAAGGAGCAGCAAGAAAAATAGACCACAGAGCATGAGAGAGAGAGATTATAAGGTCATGAAAGACCATGAGAATGTAGTGACACAAGCCAATGGAAGAAAAGTTATCAAGGAGAGAATAGTTAGCAGTACTATATATTGCATAAAGTCAAGGAAAATAAGGACTTGAAAAAGGCCATTGCATTTGGTGATACAGACTTTGGAGATGGCAATTTCAGTGGAGTAGAATGAGTGGTGATGAGAGAAGATGAGAGAATAAGGGATTGAGAGTAATTGAATGAAAAAGAAGTGGAGGCAGAAATTCTGAAAGTTTGTTAGTACAGAGGAGAAGAGTGATCCAGGTCAAAAGAAGGGTTTATTTATTTAGGATAGGGGAGACCTGAGCATATTTTTAGAGTGGGTTGAAGAAACCACTATAGAAAGAAGTGAATTGAAGGTGTATGAATAAGGGAATGAATGGAAAGCATTTAGTGGGTGCTTATCGTTCTGTACTGTGCCAATCACTGTATACAGAATGCTGGGCATACCAATTCAAAAGTGAAATTGTTTCTAAACTCCCAAGAGTTTTACATTCTGTTAGGGGGTGACCACACATATGAGGGAAGAGTCACAATATGGTTAGTGGAGTAATAAGGGAGTAGATGGACATAACCTTTCCAGAGTCAGTATTGACATTGATTTGGTTATGGTTCCTAGACTGAGAGGTAGATGAGAGTTTGGGGAACCAGAAAGAGAATGGCACCACAACAGGGAGGAAGCAAGAAGATGATCCAGGGGAGCAGGAGGGGAAGCATAGTCTGGTGGTCTGGGCAGGCTAGGTAGAATGGACAAAGGGAGTTTGTGCCTCCTGACAGGACAGGTTGGCCTTTATATATATTTTGTATGTGTGGGTGTGGGGGGGGTGTGGTTTCTCCCTGTTAGAATTTAAACTCCTTGAAGGCAGAAAATGTCTCATTTTTGTGTTTGTATCCCCAGATCCTAGAACACTGACTGGCACAGGAACTTAATAAATGGTTTTTCATTCATTCGTTCATTTGTAGACTGTGACTTCAAAAAGCTTATGATCCAATTGTGGAAATAAGACCGGACTGAGTGAAAATCAGAGGCAAATTGTGTTGTATGGACTGCGTAATAATAGATTAGAGAAATGACAGCTCATGGAGGATGAGTGAGTAGTTAAGGAAAACTTCATGGATGAAATCAGAACTTGTGGATCTATTCGGGTTCTGACCTGTAAAATGATATAGAATTGGATTAGATGGTCTTTGAGGTCACTGCCATGCCTTTTATGATCCTTATGAGGTGGATAGGATTCAAAAAGGAAGTCTTGGGTCTAGGCTGTGTGTGTGTGTGTAAGTAATCTGGCTTCAGATGTTTACTGGCCACATCACTTAAGCTTGGATTTATCTCAGTTTCCTCTACTATAAAATTAGGATGATAGGGTTGTTATGAAGATCAATAGAATTCAATAGAATATTAATATTTAGAAAACACTTAGCACAGTGCCTGACATATAGTAGGCACTATATAAATGCTTATTTCCTTCTCTTCCTTTTCCCTTATTCTATGACAGTAAGGAAACAAATCCTATTGAAGTGGAATATGAAGGAATTGGAAGTCATTTGTATAGACATGTAGATTGCAGAAGACCTTAAATGTCACTTGAGAATTTTGGTAGTCTGGATTAACATAGCATTGGCTTGATGTTTTAGAAAAAAAGTCTGGTGGCCTTTTCTGGGGTGGTTTAGAGGACAGAAAAATGGAGTAGAGAGACACATTTAGGAAACTGTTGTAGTAATGTGCTCTCTTAAGTGTTGGAAGGCTCAAACTGTTTTGTTAACAGTAAGAATGAAAAGCTATAGGAAAATCGGTAAGAAAGTCATGAATTGAATGCATCATTTTTTTTTAAGAAAGTACTTACAGTACTTAGGAGTTGAAGACTAGAAGGAACTTTATTTTATTTTTTAAGAAAAGTTCACTCATGTTATTGAATAAATAGAGTGGGAAGAATTCAGTGGTGGGAAATGGAAGAGAAGGCTGTACTTTTGCTACCTTTGTTTGCTTCCTAAATTGAGGCTTTTGTCCCCTGCTGCTCATAGCCACGCTATGGCGTATCTTCATTGGCTCTGATTAAAGCCAAGAACTATGTCTGTTAAAAAATTCACTTTTTGAATAACATCTCCCCTTTCCAAATTCTTTTTTGTTAAAAACAAAGTATAATACAACAAAGGCATTTTAGTCTTCTGATTTGTAGTTGGGGAACCTGATGAAATTGAGAAGATTGCAGCAGCGGCAAAAACATCAACAACAAAAAAACAAACAAACCAAAAAAGTAAGACCCACCAATAAAAACCACCAAAACTATATTTCAGGAAATGATTTTAAATTTCTCAGTTTGGCTTACCTTTCCTTCTTTTGGCCATCTGTCAGCCACCTTTGTTTCTGTTTACTCTCCTGACCCTTTAAGTGCTCTGAAGAATCTACAATCTACAATTATTTAAAACACTCCTAATTACATTTTAATTATACAAATTATTGTATAAAAGATAACTTAGGGTATGCTCCATGCCAGTCAAGGATTAAATACTGTGGAAAATAATTAACAAACCAAAGTACCTACACTATAGTATTCAAGATTTGGCTGTGGCTAGAGTTGTTTAAGATTAATTTTTTAACCACAAGATGGCAGCAAGATCTAAGTGGCAATACTGTAATTTTTAATATGGAGTAAGAATGGCATGTTAATTAGTGTTTCAAAAAAACAAACATTTTAAATCTGTGTTTAAATTTAAATGATTTTTACTCATTTAATTGTACAACATAAACTTATTTTTGTATTGTAGTTAAATTCTACTATCATGATTATCACTGAGGCAAGCTGGCAGCAGGGGAAAGAGTGGGCCTTGGAGTTGGTCAGATCCACAGTGTGACCCTAAGTAAAGCTCTAAGTCACAAATGATGTCAATTTTAAACTCCATTTAATCCCTATTGGTGAAAGGAGTTTTTATTACTTATTTATACTGATAAAATCATAGATCTTTCTTCCCTTCCCTTTCCCCCACAAAAAAAAACCTACTGGAGAATATATTCCTTTTTATAATGGCATTTTTCTTAGAAGTAGCAAATGTCAAAAACCTATATTCCTATGTTGTAGGAGGAAAGGTGAAAGAATTTATGCCCAGTCTTTTGTTAGAGTATTAGCAAGTAGGGAAAAATGTTTTGAATTCAGTGGGAGCTATTATGTACATGCCCCTGTCTCCTTTTCTCCGTCATGTTCATTTACTTTTATTCCAATTAATTGGTTTTGTCATTTGAGAGACTAGATATGTTTGAGATAGTGAGTTTATGGGAGCTCGAGTAATTAATACTTAATGTTTAAGGAAAAGAACTAATAATCTTTTTCTACCTACATCATAAATTACATAAAGTCAAGTACTCTAGTGTTAAACAAATGAGAATTAAGGACTCACACATTGGAGATATCATGTTATGTAGGTTTTTTCCTAAGAAATATTAATTAAATCAATGAAACACTTGTTACCATGGGACATTACACTATTAGGGAAAGATCTTAAGTATGATAATATTAGTCATAATTTCATTTCATGCTTCAAAGTTTACAAATTACTTGCCTTACAGCACTTTTGGAAATGGGTTGTATAAATATTATTATCCCCATTTTATGCATGAGGGAAGTTAAGAGGCAGAGGGGAGAAATTACTTACCCAGGGCCATATAGCTAGTAAGTATCAGAACAATATGAGAATGATTCATTGTAGTGAGTCTCTCCATTTCTGCAGCTCCTGTCTTTTGTACTACTAATCCCTTTTCCATTGGTTAATTGAGGACAGATACTTATTTCTCCCAGCCTTTTCCAGGATGTACACTTCTACTTCCTTCACTTGTTCCTCATGTAACATGATCTGAGCCCTTTTACCATCCTTGCTCTCCTCTTCAGATTGCCATTGTCAGTCTTTCCCAAGATGTACTACCAGAAGTGAATGTCATGCTTCACATTCCAAGAACAAAGTACAGTGTAACTGTACAGTGCCTATAATATAGTTGATTATGTTATGAAATAAATGAACACACACATATATTTGGTCCAGACCAGTGATCTCATTGATGTAGAGAACTTTTAAAAACAATTCTCTCCATTTATTGAAATAGGATCTTTGTCTGTAATTCTTCTGACAGTATGTCTTACAAAGTCTCCTGGAACCCCAAGAGGTCAAGTGACCTATCCATAGACACATAGCCAGTATATATCGGGGGCAGGGCTTGGTGATTGCAAGGCTGACTCACTCTGTCATGCTAACACTCATGAAAGAGATTACACTTTTACCTTTGACCATAGAGAAAACAGCTTTGTAAATGACAGATGCGCGTACACATATATGTATGTGTGTATATGCATACATACACACATATATTCACACATGTAGTGGCGTTGCTAAAAATTTCTTTGTCAACTGAAATCCCTTTTTCCCTGCATTTTTAACAAAACAAAAATAAAAACAATTCCAGTTTAGGTTTGGAAAGCCCCCCCCCTTTAGGAAACTAAACTTGATCAAACAAATCACTTTGTGCAATTAGTAATAATTTCTAGGATGGTAGTGACTAATGAACTCATTTTCACTGCTCCCTAAAATGCAGTTATCTTCTGTTCTTCTGAATAGTTAGTAGTGGTCTTACTAAAATGTTATTTTCAACAAAAATAGACCTTCGGTACAGTTTAGATTTTTTAAAAAATTAATATTAGAATATGAGTTTAAGATGAATTTGCATTTTACAGGCAGTTGTCACATTTTCCACTGGTTGTGTCCAGTATCTCATTTTTAAGTTAATTGTTTAGAAGTCAGATAATGTTTTCCCTGAAAGAATTGGATCCAATTCTGGTCACTGCATTATAGAAAGAGAGGTAGTGAAAAACTCTGTCCAGGTAAGGGCTGCCAGAAGGTAAAAGGACCTAAAACCGTATCATGTGAGGATCAGTGGTAGCTGAACTAAGCATACTTGTCTCAAGAAGACTCAGATATTTTTGAATATCTAGTATCCAGGTGATTAGTGAGGAAATTAATTTTTTTTTTTCCTGGGATAATACATCACTGACACTGAGCTCTGCTATTTGAAGTTTGTGTATCAAATTGAAGTATTTTATTTCTCAACAGAAAACATCAGCAACCTTGAAAAAGATACTGATGTTAAATTACCTTTACCACGGCTAAGAGGCATCTTAAGAAAGACTAGCCATGTGGGTGATAAAGATATACTAGAAGAAGAGGATAACCCTGCTTTTGCCAAAATACAATTTTCACGTTCTGCACCTTCATCTCTGATGAGGCTGAGTAGCAAAATGTTAGAAATTGAGCAGAGAACTCTCTCCGAAAGCCCCAAGTCTGAGGTAACTACCGTATCTGAAACATTGAGTCTTGTTCTTGAATGTAAGCCTTTGTATCTGATCATCATTATTCGAATTTTATTATATCAGATTTATCAGTTGTCTGTATTATTAATGACAAAGAAAGGGCATGGAAACATGGTGTTACGTAAGTTAAAATTGAGATAGTTCCATTGTACAGACAAATGTATGTGTTTTTGGAAAATGACTATTGGTACTCTTCATTTATTCATTTTTATCAAATATTCATTGAACACATTGTATGTCTGTGCTACTCTGAGGGGTATAAAGATGCATAAGACATGTATTCTACCTTTAAGAAATTTAAAGTCCACATTGTCTTACATAAATTGAAATGAACTAATAATCCTGAGAAAGACCTTTGTTTAAAAAGACCACGGTCTCCACTGCATCTGGGGCCATCTCCAGTCTTCCTGATCTATATGCAGATGGCTCCAGAGGAGAAAGTGAAACCAGTGACTTTGCACAACCCTCCCTCACCTAAATCTGGTTCCCTTGCAAAGTCATGGCATGGCCTTGGCCTTCCTGATATGGGCCTCTACAAGAATGAAGGACGAACAACAACAGCAAATAAAATAGTTCACTTGGAAATCTATCCAGACTCGCCCCCAGCCCCCTGCATTGTTTTGATAGTTCATTTGCTGTTTGTTCAATTTCTCTTTCTTTGTTTTTTTAAGATCTCTATATTTTGTTTTTGTTAATTTTTGAATTTTATAGGTAATCATTATTTCAATTCTCAATTTTTCTGGCATATAATTTTATAATGATTCTTTTTATTTCCATTGTCCATTGTGAATTTGAGCTGATTCGTTTTTGCTTTTGGTTATTTGATGTTCCTTTTAATCAAATTAGCTAATGTTTTATCAGTTTTTATTAGATTTTTATAAAACATCTTCTGTTTATGCTTATCACTTTTGTAGCCTTTTTGCTTTTTGTTTTTATCAGGTTCTCTTATTTTTCTCTTTCTGGGTATTTTTAGTTTTTTTTTAATTACATAGTTCATTAATGCTCTCTATTTTATTAATATATGTTTTCAGAGCTATAATTTTTCTTCTGAGAACTGCTTTTGCTTCACCCAAAAAAACTTGGCATATTTCATTGCTGTCGTTCTCTTTTACATATTTATAAATTGTTTCTGTGATTTGTTCTTTGATACCTTCAGTGTTAGGAGTATCATTACTTAATCTCCACTTAAATTTGTATTTTACATGAATATCCCCTATGTTGCTTCCTAGTTTCATTATGTTATGGTCTATAAAGGACCATGTGTACTTTATGTATTTATGATTACTTTGTGCTCTAGCAGATGATTAATTTTTGTAATGGTTTCATGGTATATAAAGAAATACACGTATTCTTTTACTGTTTCTTTTCAGAAATTATGTCATTCTTGATTTATGAAAAAAGCAATAATTAAAGGGGCATTGCATTACCAATTACTAAAACAATTTATTTTTAAAGTAATCATCTTCAAAACTATTTGATACTAGGGGCAGCTAGATGGTTCAGTGGATAGAGTACCAGCCTTAGAGTCAGGAGGACCTGAGTTCAGATCTGACCTCAGACACATAACCCTTACTAGCTGTGTGACCCTGGGCAAGTCATTTAACCCCAATTGCCTAAAAATTAAAAAAAATTAAAATTAAAATAAAAAAAAACTATTTGGTACTAGTGAAAAAATAGAAAAGTAAATCAGTGAAACAGACTAGATAAGCAAAACCCAGGAATAAGTAACTGCAGCATTCCAGTGATTGAGAAAGATGATAACACAAACTCAGGGAAGAGACTCTTCCCCACAAACTACTTGGAAAAATTGTAAGGCATTGTGACAAACATTATCTTTACTTAGCCGTAGATCTAGAGATGGAAGGGACCTTACTTAGGCGCTCTTTAATCTATCCCCTCAAAATACAGATGAAAATACTGAGGGCCAGAGAGGTTGTGACTTGCCTGAGTTCGCACATCCATGCATGTGCGAATGGCAGGGCCAAGATTTGAACCCAGGCATTCTGACTTTTATACCATATACCACAGTAAGCTACAAAGTGCCTGTTTTTTTAAAAAATTAAAGGAGCACATTAGCTGGGGCAGGAGGATAGGGAAGAGCAGGGAGAGAAAGAAGGGAGAATTCTTTACCAAACAAGGGATAGACACGGCAAAACAATAAAGTAGACAATCTTAATTACATAAAATTTAAAAGTTTTTGCCTAGTAAAGTCAGTGTAGCTCAAATAAGGAAATACTGTTGATTTGTAAAAATATGTTTGAATATCTATGATAAAATCCTGATATCCAAGGAATATAGTTAGAGAATATAGATGTAGAAGGAATTTGCACAAGCATAAAAAAATCTAGATGTTTCTTAATTGGAAAATTAGTGATCAAATCTGGGGCGGTCACCAGTCATCCTGATCTATATTTTGCCACTGGACCCAGATGGCTCTGAAGGAAAGAGTAAGGCTGGTCACTTTACACAGCCCTCCCGCTCTTAAATCCAATTCACTTGCAAGTCGTTGTATCACCTTCGGGATGTCATGGTCTTCTCTGAGAATGAAGGACAAACAACAAAAGTGATCAAAGGATATAACTATTTTCAGAAGAAGAAATGCAAATCATGTGGGATCAAGAGGATGAACAATGCCCATGACATTGTTAATATTGAACTTGGATGGTTTCTAAGATGTCTATTGAGTAAAGGCTTTGCTAGGGAGTTTCCCAAGTTTCATTAAATGTTGTGACTATTACTCCTTTCTGGTGACCCATGTAAATGCAAATGATGATACCAGAAGAAACTTAGGAAGGATTTTGAGGGAAATATAAGACCTCAAGACATGTATGGCACTTTAATTACTACTGCAGATTGACTATTCCTGGAATGTACCTAATAAAGTATACTCAAAATATATTTGCTTATTTGGAATCATGCTAATAAAACAAAGTGACTAAATTATCCATTCCCATTGATACAGAGATCCTATTTCTAAGTATATACTCCAGGGTCAAAGGCCGAAAGGTCTCATAAAAACCATAATATTAAAACAAAACTTTTTATGGTAAAAAACTAGAAACAAAGGAGATTCCCGTTGATTCAGGGATTCACTAAATTATGGTCCTTGAATTTAATGTAATGTTACTGTGTGTAAGAAACAATGACTATGAAGAATTCAGAGAAGCAGGGGAAGACTTATATAAATAAGCAGTAACCAGAAATAGCCAGAACCACATACACACATACACACACACACACACACAATATATATGTATGTATGTATGTATATATGTGTGTGTATATATGTGTGTATATATATGTATATGTATACACACACACATAATGTTTACAACAAGGTACATGGAAGAACAATAGGGTGAAACAACTCTGCAATTATATTGACCAAGACTAGCCACATGAAAAGTTAGAAAATGTACTTTCTCATTGAAATGTGTAGAGGAGAACTGGACGGGTATGAAATATTGCATATAATCTCAGACAGTTAACATTATTTAATTTTGCAGGACTTTTCTTTTATAAAATCTTTGTTACAAGGGTTCAGGGAGAGGGATAGATATTTGCAAATGAATATGATTTAAAAACCAAAGGTATCCATAACAAGACAACATTTTTCAAAAGAGAATTGCATGTGATTAACAACCACATGAAATCTTCCTTCAAATTACTAATAACAGAAATGCAAATGATTTCATTTCACAGCTATCAGATTTGCAATGAAGTCTGATTTGGAAGGGCTGTGGAAAAACAGGCACACCAATGAAGTATTGGTAGAACTGTGAATTGGTCCAACTATTCTGGAAATTAATTTGGAATTATGTGAGAAAATTCACTAAACTGTTCATAATCATTGACTTAATAATTCTTCAATTACTCTTATACCCCAAGAGGGTCATTGGCAGAAAGGTCTTATACACACCTTTCTGTGTGTATAAAATACTTTCTGTGGTAGCAAAAACCTGGGAGCACAATATGTGGCCATCCTTTGGGAAATAGCTGAACAAATTGTCATATGTGAATATAATTGAATATTATGCTGCTATACAAAATGACAAATATGAGAAATTCAGAGAAACAGGGAGACTTAGTCAAAGTGATATAGAATGAAAAAGTAGAACCAAGAATACAACATATAATGTAAATGATAACACTGAAGGAAAACATAAATTCTATAATGATAGTTCTGATGAATTGATAAACTCACTATTCTCCCTCTAGAGAGGGTGTAGAATTTGGTATATACTATTAAATATAGTTGCTTTATCAGTCAACATTGCTTAAATGTTTTTCTTTATTACAAAGAAAGATAAAGGGGAATGTTAGGGGGCTATGATATAGTGTAAAAAATTTTAAAGCAATGTTTCAGCTTTTTTTTTTTAAAGTAAGTATAAAGAAAATCAAAGAACTTGGCCTGTTACGATAATTCTTTGGGGACGAAATAATCACAAACTAGACTCAACTAAACTTACCTCTGAAATATTGTTTTTTAAGGGTCCATGGTTAACAAGCCCACGAACATCATTAGCAATTCCTCACCAGCTATCAGATCCTGAAAATCTTGGAGACTACCTTTTCTCTCCACCAGTAGAAAGATCTAAAAAAGGTATACATAATTTTTCCTATTTTTATTTTATTTGTTCTAAAGGACAATTACTTCTAGGACTTCATATTTATCATTCAGACCTTAAAATTTAAAAGAATTTCAATTAATGAGCTACACAAGTACAAAGAAATATTTACTGAAATAATATAAAAATTAATTTTGTTAGGTCATAACTTGGTTTCAAATCACTAATAGATAGCATTCTTTCTCAGGATATTGTGTAATTGTAGGTTTTTATTTCATTCATAATTTTTCTATGTGACTGAGACAGCTTAATCTCACACTAGGTCACTTGGTTTCTGGATTTTCCTATTCAGAATTGAATATTCAAGCTCCCACAATAGCACAAGGACAAGATGAACCTTGAAGTTTGAAGGAATAGATTAACATCATCAGAACCATTTCATACTGGGCTAGAAGCATTGTTATTCCTAAAACTCTTGAGTTCAGGTCCTGCACTGTCTCCATCAGGGTCTGAGGAACAGTGGTGATGATAGTGGATTGTCTTGCCTGATATGTGCTGCCTCCTCTCTCCTCCCCCTCCCTCTGCCCCAGCTAGGCTGGCTCTCTTGCCCTGTGAAAGGCAGTGGGATGTTGTTAGATAGTGGGGATAGCTAGTCTCTTCTTCATAGGATCTGTCTCCCCAGATCATAGCTGTGAGAATTGGACTGGAAGTAGGACTGATTGTCGGGTATGGGGTTGGGGTGGGGTGCTACCGTTCCCAGGGTTTTTGTGTCTATCTCCCTGTTGGTGACCTATTGCTAGTATTTGATCAGCAGTTGTTGCTAGTGGTGATGAAGGCCTGCCTTCATCACAGTGATCTCTCCCTTCAAAGATGGCTGTGGAGGCTGGGCTGAAAACCAGTCTAGTAGTTGTAGAGATACTGCTCTTCCCACAGCTCTTGGGTTTGGGATTCTAGGCCATCTCCATAAGGGTCCAGTGGAAGATGAGGTGGTGGTGGTGATTTGACTTGCTTGATGTGTTTGCTCTTGTCTCCATCTTGGTGCTCTGCTGCTTCAGCTAGGTTTGCTTGCCTGCCCTGTGAGTGGCAGGCGGTTAGCAACTAGTTCATGGGGTTGGCTGGCCTCTTTTCCGCAGGAGAGATATGTCTCCTTATGTTATGACAGTGAGGGCTGGACTGGAAGAAGGAAAATTATTACAATGTATTTCTTTCCACCTGTCATCTTTTTGCTATAATGACATAAAACCATGCTTTCATTTTGCAAACATCAGTCATGTTGCTTTGATTGGTTGTGATTTGTTTGTGTAACATCTAGACTTACAGATATGACCACTGCTGACATTCTGTTTAAGTGCTAGGTTCTTGTCTTGGTGTGCCACTCTTTAATATGGGTTTCAAAACTGAACTGTTTAGTTAAAACTGATCCCCTCCAGAAGACAACAATAGCTTTTGAGCCTTGGTAGCTGTCTGAGACCTGTAGTTCTCCAGTCTATAGCTGACAGCAGACCTTGACTCCAAATAAAGATGATAACCTTTAAAACAGTAAACGATGACTAAACTTGAGAGTGGACCTTGGGACTTAAGGAGAGAGCTCACATAGGAAAAAAGGGGAAAGCCTAGAAGGGTTTAAACCCACAGATTCTGTGGCAGGAGGCATTGATATTGTACTTTTGTGCTCTTTTACCACCATTCATAGAATACTACCAAGGAGCCACCAAAGATTTGCTAGAGCTCTTAGAGACAGAATCATTAGAAACCATAAGATATTTCTTCCTATTCATTCGATGTGTTAGATATTAATTTTCAGTTGGTATTCTTTTATAGATTACTTTTAAAAACTACTTAAACTTAATACCATAGTTATTTTAATCTATTTTACAAGTCAAAAGGGATAACAAAAGATCTTAAGTAAAAGAAGGCAAGTTAATTTCTTGCCCAAATTATTGTTTCATAATTTATTTTCAGTCATATTTTTCCATCTCAATTACAGATCAAGAAAAAATAGTAGATGAAAACCATAATATTATGAAATCAGAAGACAGTAACAATAAGTTTTCCCCTGCAGAAGAACTAATGGTGAGTAATACTTTGGAGAAAACAGAACAAAGTCAAGAAACCATCGATGAGCTTGAAAAAAACATGAAGAAATTACAAGTGTTTGTGGATGAGGATAGAACATCTGTCATTTCAGATGCATCCCTTAAGGTATTTTTAAAAAAATCATTTCATTTAGTTTTTCTTTTTAAAACTTATTAACAAGTTGGGTTTTTTTGTTTTAGTGTCTGATTGCATACTCCTGAAATGCCTCTGGAAATTTCACCTAGTTGTGGTTTGACATAACGTGATTATTACTATTCAATTCAATTTAGCAATTGTATATGTTCACCAAATACTGTGCAGAGTTCAGCTTAGATAAGCCATATTGCCTGCCCTCATGGAACTTATAGGTTAATAGTAGGAAGATGTAACATATAAACAGTTTACCTATACTTGACTCTTTTAAGATTCTATAATTTCATTAGCGTGGGTACTCCTTTCTCTGATGTAGAACAAAAGAGTTGCTCTTATTAAAATATATTTTTATTACTAAACCAACCTGGTAAAGACCCTTTTAGAACTTAGCTAGGATAGATAGTCCTCAGATCACAGATTTGTTTTTTATCAGTCCTCTAACTGAAGCTTTTCCATCTATATAGGATTGTCAGAATTTGTTCTCCTTTGGTTTGGTGTTTGAAAACTCAGGGTCACCATACACAATGAGGAATATAAAGAAGACTTTAGCTAGTGTTACTCAAACTAATAAATACTAAATGCCTTAGAAAGGTGTGGACAAAGTGCCAAGTGAGGACCAAGTTGAGACAGGAGACAGCTAGGAGCTTAAAGATGCTTCATGGAAGAGTTTACTATATCCAGTGGGATGTTCACATTAATTAAGATTTATGATAAATGATATATAACCTAAAGTTTTGTAAAAAAACAACAACAACAACAACAACAACAACTTTGAGATACAAAACATGCCAGAAATAGTTCACAGTTGAAAAAATTATTTTACTTAGGAGCTTCTACTTTATAAATAACTAAACACATTTGGAAGTGTCCTAACTGATTTAATGATTAGGAGAACCATTGACAGATTGCTATTTTAATGCTTTAGAATTTTCATTCTGAACATGTAGATAGAGTAAAGCACTTTTTAAAAATAAAAATTGTCTTCTGAGAGTATAAATTATATTTGAAGTAATTTGAATAAGATCATTAAATATGAATTTTAAAATTATTGCATATAGTTATTACACATGTCTTCATATGCTGTTATTATCATTTCATTAGAACATATTCATATGGATACTAGGAAATACTGATATTTAGTAGATCTTAATGAATAAAATTTCAGCAGTCTGTACCCACATTCTGAGTTCTTCAGACAGTTGAGATTTTGCCACTTTAAGTAATAAAACTGTTATTTTGTTTTAGATTGAAATATTTTAGCATATATTACATACGTCTCTACCTTCTAAAACAGAGTGTACTGAATATATTTTAACCTTTTCTTGATTGTTTCATCATTAAGAAAATCAGTTCTTGGAATATACTGTAATAAATGGATGCTACTGGGGCCTTTTGAGTTGTGTGGAGCTATTTGTCCCTAGATTGATAGAGCATTTATTAAGTGCTTACTGTGTGCCAAGCATTGTACATAGGAATAAAATACAAGCAAAAAGAAAGACAGTCCTTGTTCTTAAGGTGCTTCCATTCTAATTGGAGAAAACGGTGTATAAAAGGGAGTGGAAAAAGTGGGAGAAATACCTGAAAAGAGGGATAAGTATAAAAGTTCAGAGTCAGGAGGAGCTTGGCCGACTTGTACACTTCCTTAAATGAAGGTCCCAGGAAGAAATTCACCGGAGTAGTATATCAAAGGGTTAGAGGTATCTCTAGGGGCAGAAATCAGCTGGGACCAAGAAAATCTGGTACAGAGCTGAAGAGCAGTGAGCATGGCTGACCTTGGCATTTCCTCAAATGTAAATGCTAGGGAGCAACTCACCAGTTTGAGGAGAGAGCCACAGGACAAAAGCATGTCTAACATGAGAAGGCAGCTGGAATAGAGGTAGAAAAGCTTGGATACTCTTGATGAGAGTTGGTTGGGCCTGGCTGGCCTGAGAATTTCCCTAAATGAAGGCTTCAGAGAGAAATTCATCAGTCAAGGAAGGGACCACATCTCCAAGGTGAGAAGACAGCAGGGGTAGAGGTGGATAAGTCTTGAGTGTGGATCAGACCCAGGAGAACAGTGAGCAAGGACAGTCTGGGCGCTTCCTCAGTTGAAGTTTCCAGGCAGGAACTCACCAATCAGAGGAGGGGGGCACAAAGGCAAAGGCATCTGCAGAGTGAAGAACATCCCTGGAATGGAAGTAACAAAGTCTAGAGGGTCTGGATCAGAGCTGGGAAAGCAGTGAGCGTGTATGACATGGACACTTCCTCAGATGAAGGCTCCAGGCAGGAACTCGCCCTTCAAAGGAGGGACTTCAGGGTAGAGGTGTGGAATCTGGAGAGCCTGAAGCAGAGCTGGGAGAGCATTGAGCACGGATAGGCTTGACCCTTCCTCAAAGTAAGGTTCTAGGCAGAAGCAATAGAAAGAAGAGATTTTAGGGGTAGAGGCATCCCTTGGGTGAGAAAGCAGCTAGAAAAGAAGTGAAAAAGTCCAGAGTGCCACCAGTGTGTTCTTGTGTGCACTTTTTGCATTTTGTCTGTGTGTATGTATGGGGGAGTTCTTTCCTTAAAATCAGCTCTATGCTGTTTCTCTTCATGTCAGTGTACCTGCCCATAGCACCTCCTCTCACCCTTTGCATCAACTTTGGACCTAGAAACCAGATAACACTAGCTTCATATTCTGCAAACTTTCTGAGTACCAGTTGCATGCAGAGCTAGGTGCTAGTTCTAGGTGTTAGGTGCTCAAGGGTGGAATGGAAGTAAAAGGAGGGGAGACATTTAGCTAGTCCTTGCTTTCATTGAACTTAGAGCTTAGTTGCTGATTAGAATTGTGTATGAGTAAATAGACTCTGAATTGGGAGCGGGGTGGGCTGAGAGACTTTTATGAATTAAGTGTGTAGTCCATGCATAGACTTGATGGGATCTATTTTGTCTGCTCCTGGGCTTTTATTGCTTAACTTCCTAGATTTTCACTATTTTCTAAGTAACCAAGGTTGTCAGATATCTAAATTTCACATATTTGAGGTTTTTCTATAGTCACTATACAATTTTCGGTTGATTGTTTTGATGGTAAGTTAATTTATAGATTTAGCATCAGAAGCTTCTTATTATGTTAGTCCCTATTTTTACTTTTCCCTGCTTTCTTTTCTCCCTGATCTCCTGTCTGTTTGTCCCTTCTGCCTACAATTTTAAATCCCACATTTCCATCAAGGGCCTGGTCAAGACTTCAAGACCCATCTCTTTCAAGAAGGTGACTAATTTGACCCTACATTGTTTTCTCATGCTTTTCATTTGCCCAGCAATTACAATACAGAGTTTGTACCATATGGTCATCTCCCTTTATATGTGATACGCCTTATTATTTGCCTTCCTGACTTCCAAGTGCAGTTTTATAGTTTCCTTAGGTCAACGAATGAATTAATAAAAACATTTATTAAATGTCACCTACTTTCCAAGCATTGTGCCAAGCCTTGGGGATGAAAACACAAAAGCAAGATATTTCTTGCCCTCAAGGAACTAATAGAGAAATCTATGTATACTTTAAAAGCTTTATACTGGTCTAAAGCTGCACTAAGCTTTTTGGAACACTTTGTATAGAGCAGTTGTGGCCAGGAAAAGGAATTGTGCTCTGGAAAGTCACAAAGATGGTGGGTGAGTAGGACGATAGCACGATCCATTAGCACACCTCCAGAAGCCATGGTGGTGGTGATTAGATTATAGTTTTCAGAGTGAGAAGTGGAAAAGTTAATAGAAGAGGAGCACTCTCAGGGGTGAGGGCAGAAAACAGTCCCAGTAAGTGTGTAGTCCTGTAGTCTAAGTCCTCGTAGGAATGAATGATCTCCAGTAGTCTGTTGGAGGTTAGAGAAACCACAGCATCACCAAGCTGGACAATGGATAAGGACTGAGGGTCTCAGAAAGTCCAAAGCTGAATGGCTTAGCTCCTTTTAGCCTTAGCCTCTGATGCAGCAGCAGTAGGAGAGGGAGTCAAAGACTACTCTCTCTCTCTCTCTCTCTCTCGCCCTCCCTCTCTCCCTTCTTCCCTCTCTCCCCCTCTCTCCTTTTCCCTCTCCCTCTCCCCCCCCTTTTTTTTATGGGGGAGAAGCTTAAATGTTTAATGAGTGAATGAATCCTCATAAGTTCAGGACAGTAATATATTCTTATTTGACAATTTGCTTTAAATTTCTGAACCAGTATTTTATAGGTTTTATATAGTGTCTGGAGTATTCAACTCCACAAATATTAAGCACCATGAATAAGGTGGAGAGGACATGGGATTTATAGTCAAACAACCTGACTTTGCTTTTCAGTTCTGCAGCTTAGTGCTTTTGTGATCTGGGGTAAGGCACAACCATTCTGGGCCTGCATTTCCTAATCTGTAAGGTGAAAGGGGTTGGGCTAGAGGACTTCTAAAATCCCCTCCAGCTCTACGAACTCATTACAGAATACTGTCTTAGATACCAAGAAAGATAGAAAGAAAAGTAAGACTACGACTCTGCCCTTATGGCTCTTATCAAGGTAGTAGAGGGAATGTGACCAGTTAATAATTAATCAGTAATCACCAGGCATTTATTGGGTGCCTACCATGTACCAGACACATAGCTGCTGGGGACACAAGGACAAAAATGAAACATTCCTGACTTCAGGAGAGCTTACATTCTATTAAATGACACAATGTATACATATGTAAACATATTCAAAATATGCAGAAAATAAATGCAATGTAATGAGAAATACTAGAAGCTAAGGGGATCACGAACAACTTTATGTAGATGCCTACACTTGTGCTGAGGTTTGAAGAAACCTTGGGATTTTAAGACCTAGAAAAGGTATGGGGGAGTGCATTCCAGGCCTGAGAGACAGTCAGTGTAAAAGGCCCAGAGGTGGGAAATGAAATGTGTGTGAGGACTAGAAGGCCAGTTGATTGGATAGTAGAATTATAAATGAGAGAAATGTGTAATGGGATAAGAAGAAGGCAGGTTGGCACCACGTTGTGAAGGGTTTTAAAAATCAAACATAGGAGTTTAAGTTTGCTTACAAGGCAATAGAGAGTTGATGAAATTTGCTAAGTAGAGGAGAAACTTAGTCCTGTACTTTGGAGAAGTTATTTTGGCAGCTCCTCTATGGAGCTTGGATTGGAAAAGAGAGTCTTGAAGCAAGGGGACTCATTAGGAAACTCCTGAAGGTAGTACAAGTGAGAGGTGATAAGGGACTCAGCTGGAAGGCGTAACTCTGAGTGGAGACAAGAGAACAATTATATTTCCACATTATTTGAGAATCGTAGGAAGAAATAAACAATCACTCTGGAGAAAGTTATGCTTTAAGCTTAACTAAAGTGATTCATAACCTTTGTTGTGTCATGGACTGCTCTGGTAGTCAGAATGAAGTTTTTAAACATATAAAATGAAATATATAACATTATAAAGGAGATCAGTTGTACTGAAATACACTCATTAAAATATTTTTAAAAGTTCCTGGACCCCAGGTTTAAGAACCTCTGTTGTGTAGAAGGTGAATAAGAATTCCTTTCAGCTCCCAGCTTCTTCAGAAGGTCTGTCTTCCTGAGAATTAAGTTGATTTACAGTAATAATTTCTCAGTTCTTGGTGTTGATTTTCATTTTCGTCTTCACTTTGTGGTTTGGTGCAACAGATCATGTTTCATTATGGATTTGAATGATCTTTGAAATGCTTTACCTCCCCATATCCATAATTGTTTCAGTATGTCTAATAATCATGGAAGTGTACTCTTTAAGTGCTGCAACATTTATATAACTTAACTTGAAAGAAAGTTAAAAACATAGAATTAAAAACACAACAAAGGAGTAATGAAGCAAGTGTGTATGGTTTGAAATCCAGTTACTCAACTTACAGAACCATCTAAAGATGGGAAGACCAGGTCAGGGTCAGATTTTCCAAGTCAGTCTACTGTCAGTAGAAGCACTGACACATGACCATTGCTGTCACAAAACGAAACCGTAATTAAAATTATTTCTTGTTACAAATAATTAGCACACACCACTGTTGATCTAGGAGTAATCTGTGTAGAGATTATAATTAAACTAATAGGAGCAGATGAGTCAATCAATAAGCGTTTATCGCATACGTACTATGTTCCAGGCGCTATACTAAGCAGCGGAGATACAAAGACAAAAGCAAAAATATCTTTGCCCTCACGGAACTTATTGTCAAAGAGAGTATATTAGAGACTAATCAGAAATTGTAAAGAGAGAAGAGGGCTCAGGAAAGAGCCTTGGGGAATATCTACAGTTGCAGGGCAGAACATAGATGATGATATAGTAAAGAAAATATAGAAGGGGCAGTCAAACAGATAGGCAACTGAGAAAAAACTTGTAAAAATCTACAAAGGAGCCAGTACCCATTAAGAGAAGGTAGTCAACAGTGTCAAAGGTTGCAGAAAGGTCAAGAAGGATGAGGATTAAGAAAAAGCCATCCAGCATATCGATTAAAAAATCATTGATATCAGAAGGAAAAGGTCTTTCTGTCAGAAGACAGATTATAAAGGATTTAGAAGTAACAGACACAGAGACAATGAGTATTGGTAGTCTTTTTAGACATGTGAGAAAGGAAGCAAAGATGGTAATAGCTTGAAGTGGTGATAGAGGCTAGTGAGGGGTTTTTTTTTTGTTGTTGTTGTTTTTTTGTTTTTTAAGGATGAGGAGACTTGGTAATACATGTAAATAAGGAAGGAACCAGTTAGGAAAAATTGAAAGCTGGAGGGGTGGGATGAATGAGGGGAGAGGGAATATACTAGAGAAGACTAAAGGAGATGGGATCAAGGGTACATATAGAGCAATTGGCCTTGGAAGGAGAAAGGTTACTTAATCCTCAGAGACTGGATAAAGGAGGAGACAATAAGAAATGACCTCTAGAGGGTTGTGAGATAAGGAGAGAAAGAAGTTCTTGACAAATAGTCTCTAGTTTTTCAGTAAAATATAAAGTGAGGTCCTCATCTGAGGGTGAGGAAGAGGTATGTGGTCAGGGAGATAGGAAGAGATTATAGAAATAGGAGGGGATGGGGACAGGCAGTTGAGGTTAGATAACATAAATTGTTATGTTCAACAGCTCCTGTATAGAAATAAAGAGGATTTGGGGAGTAATACAGGGTTGAAGTTTAGCAAGGCCATGTGGCCATCAGTAGGGCAAGGGAATTGGGGAGTTGGGATTGGAGAAAGTATTGGAGAAACTGGTTAATTATAGAATAAAGATTGGGAAGGGAACAAAGTGAGGTCAGAGCAGTGGTCAGATGACCTGGAGAAAATTTTGAATTTGGTAAAGGGATTAAAGGTAACAGTGAGAATAAAGAAGAGATTTAGGGGAAGAGTTAAACATTAGGAGAGTTTTTTTTATCATGTAAGTGAATCACATGTGGTAGGTAGTGAGATCAAAGATATGTTTGGCTAAGGTGGACTGAATAAATAAGTCATGAGTCATGCAAATAAATAACTAATACAAAAGAGAATGTGAAAAGATATGCAAGAGAAGTATAAACCAAGTGCTATGTAAAGTCACTTATAATTTTCATTATCATGGTATATAATTTGCATCATTCTAACACTAATAATGCATACAGTACCTTTAGAATAAAGAAAGGCTATGTTTAGCCAAGTGTACCAGTTACCGAAATAAAAGACCTAAAAATGGAAGCTTGACATTTATTTGTATAGAGATATGTCCCTCGTTTCTGACACTGTTTCTTGTTAGCAGAAAGCAAGGGATAATACCTTTCAAGTAACATTTTCCCAGTCTTCTTGTGGTCATCAGCCAGGTTTTTACCATAGCCTAGAGCATAAGATACCACTACTTTCAGCTAAAGGATATGAACACTAGTTTCCCAGTACTTCTGTTTCCAGGACCTCATTGTTCATGTAAGTGATTGTTATGTTCTAGTAAGGTAAAAAACATTTGGAGATTTGTTAGAGCTTTAGGAGTGTGTTTAGAGGGTAGAATTTGGCAGTGGCAGAAAGTAAAGCTCATAGAGAATGTAGTCAGATGAATTCAAGCCAGTAGGTTGGGGGAATGTAAGTTACACATTTCTCTTTTTATATTTGAAATATTATAAATAATTTTCTTCTGATTTCTAATCATAATTAAGAAATAATTATGTAGCTGCCTGTACAATGTATTTTTTTCTATTAAAAGAAAAAAAATGAAGATAAGAATTTGAAGAAAACATCTAAAAGAACAAAACCAAGCAGGTAATAAAAATGTAAATATCTCATTTACACATTGGCATTCTAGCAAAGTTGACTGTATATTTTAGTTTTGTGAAGTAAACATGATTGTCTCATTGACTTTCATTATAAAATCAGAGATATGTTCCTATAGAGAACCATCTCCCAGTAGAAAGTAAGGAAAACATTTTCATAGTTACTGAAGTACCTTTTTGTTATTGTGGTACTGAGAGTGATTTTATAGCACTTTGTGTGCTCCAGGATTGCCTTTCTTGAAGTTATATTCCATCCCATATTAAAATTTTGAGTAGGAAAGGACTTTAGAGAGCTAGTCTCCTAGCTAGTCTCCATAGGCCTGATGAATTCAGAATAAAAATAATAGATGCTCTTCTCCCCACCCCCAAAATATTCCAGTGGTAAGTTAAGAGGATAAAGGCCCTTAGAACTTTAATGACTACAAGGGCAACAAAAGTTTCACCACATATCCAGTTCTCTTGGTCTCCTTCACATTTGTCATAACTTGCTTTGCTATGTGTATGTAAAGTACAATGTTGTCTCATTAAAGATCTCATCTACAAAAATTTCTGTCATCTAGTTGCCATGGGAATGAGATCGTAAGTTGAAATAATCAGAGTAGCAGAAGTCTGCATCCCTATATGGGGCTGTTTGCTCAAATTGACATTTATAAGTCATTCAAAAATGCATAAATAAATCACAGAAAAAATGTCAACATTAACAAAGGAATTCTAGCCATTTTATGTTTCTTCTTAAAGATGTCATAAGTAAAGTAGAACTCTCTCCCAGTTCTCCTCTCTTCCCCCACCCTTCTCACCCAACAAGTTCATATTTGTTTGAAAGACTGCAAAGGATCTATTGTTTTGTCAGAAAGGACACCACTTCATGTGGAAATACTCTCCACTCACACAAATCTGTGTCTTTGTAGATACATTCTAAGGAGTTGTTTGAGGTACATAGAAAGGGTGAGTGACTTGCCCAGGGCCTTTTAGCTAGTGTCAGAGGTGGGATGTGAACCCAAGTCTTCCCGACTTGAAGCCCAGCAATCCTAATGTCTACTCTGCCATGCTTTTCTCAACAATTCATTACAATAGTACACAAATATTACCTTTTGACTTTACATCCAAATGAATAATTTATTCTAGCCAGTGTGGTTCCAAATTTTCATGACATTATAAATAACTCAATCAATCAGTCAACATTTGCTATGTACCTACTATGAGCCAGGTACTGTGTTAAGTAATGGGTATACAAACAGGTAAAAGACAAGCCCTGTCCTCAAGGAGCTTACAGTCTAATGGGGGAAATAATGTGCAAATATATATGAAGCAAGCTATAGACAGGATGAATTGGAAGTAATTAAAAGAAGGAAAGCACTGGACAAGATGTGTTAAATCCCCAAATTCTGCTAAATTGGAAGTCTTCTAACTAGGAAATGCCTACCTTACCCCAAATCTGTTTTGTTTAGTTAATCTAAATTTTGAATGCATGATCCAAATAGAGCTACCTTAAGAAAGTATTAATTTTGTCATAATTAGGCCATTTTCATGCAAGACATTTAATTTTCATTGACTATAATAGATACAAATTCTGACATTCTGCAAACTAGAATTGTATAGTTTTATTTTGATCCTTTTGGATCTTTTAAAATTGGTGACTTTTGAATTCTTAGAAAAATCTCCTTCTAGGAAAAAACCTCTGCCTACAACTGCATCTTCCCAGTACCTGGGGACTTTAAAGATCTTGGAACAGAAACAGATCCTAGAGCTTGACAAAGCCGATTCCATACGGGCAGCTGTTTATCAGGTAAAATAATAATGACAATGGACATCAGAATATTTAGTTTTTCAGAAGAAAAAATTAACTTGGCAAGGACATATGTGTTGATTTTTTTCAGAAAAGATTTCCATTCACACTTGATGAGCAGCCAGAATATTCACTAGCCACATGGCAAATTGAAATGATTATTTTTTTTAGAGTGACTTTAACTGGGCAGAGGAAGGAGGAGGTATCGAGAAGAAGAACCCGAAAATATATCAAAATACATTACATTTTAATGATAAAGGAATAGATTATTGTCATATACAATCTACATGAGTCTCTACTTCAAAATTTGTGTCAAGAAAGTATACATACAGCTTTTCTAACAATATATCCTAAATTAAAGTTTCTCATATTTCATGGAAAAATCAAGTTTCATAGCTTATCAACAATTCTAAAAAGAAATTTCCCTACTTTTTGGTGTAGAGCATTCCACACTTTAAGGAACCATTGGGATTTCAGAGATAGAAGTGTATTATAATTCATTTAACTATAAATTGACACTATATTCCTTCTATTCAAAAAAAAAAGACTATACATATATATGTATATATATGAAATATGTATGTTTTTAATTACTCTCTACCTTTTTTTGTAGCACTAGCTAAAACATTCCACTAACTAAATTACATAGATTGGGGTTCTAAATCTTTTTGTGTTATGAACTCCTTTGACAGTCTAGTCAAGCTTGTGGATCCCTTCTTAGAATAATGTTTTTAAATACATAGGATTACAAATGGAACTAATTATATTGAAAGAAAGAGGTAATTATTTTCCCATTCAAGTTCATAGACATTGTATAATTGATCCATCTGTGGATTCCTAGGTTAGGAACCTTTGATATAGACTTAGCATCTACTTGAGGTGAACTAGTGTCATCTTTTTCTTTTCATCTTACAAGGGGTTTGTTTGAAGTGACATTGTAGAATGTGGAAACCACTCACTGCCATGCTTTCAGGGGTAATTAGAATCTATTAATATGGTATATTTAAACAGTTGGTATTGCATACACAAAAGATTAAAATGCTAAAAACTCAAATTATGTTCAGATATTTTCAAACTATCCTGATTTAAAATATACTGATAAAAATGTACTGATTAAAAAAGTTTGAGGTGGAGCCAAGATGGTGGAGTAAAGGCAGGGACTCTCCTGAGCTCTTCCCCAAACCCCACCAAATACCTTTAAATAATGATGACAAATAAATTCTAGAGTGGCCGAACCCACAAGAAAATGGAGTGAAACAATTTTCCATCCCAAGACAACTTACAGGATTGGCAGGAAAAGTCTGTTGCACCAAGATGAGAGAGAAGCAGTCCAACACAGGCCGTGACAGCACGTCACGGGTCCCAGCAAACCAGGAGCGGGCTTTGGAATGACTGAATCAGTGGCAGCAGTGGCAGTTTCCAGACCTCTCAGCCCACAGACAGTAAGGGGATTGGACAGTGGATCAAAGTGAGATTTATAGGGTTCTCTTTGTTGGCACCAGGGACAGGACCCTGTTGTATTGCCTGTACTTGGATCTGGGTCGCAATCCTGGTTCTTAGTCCCAGAGCACAGAGGAGCACTAGCACAGCAGAGCTGGTTGCCGCAGGGAAGCGGGGACCTGGTAGTCACAGTTCCAGGGTTGAAAAGAGTGCTTGTGGTCAGTCACAAACCAATGCACAGTACAGGAGAGTAATAAACACACCTCTCCCTTGATCATACCACCTTGGAAGACCCAAAAACTTACAGTTCCCCAGAATTATCTCTGAACACAGCTACACGTAAAACCTGAAGTTTGGAACAATGCCCCCTCCACTTGGGAAACAGAGCCCCACTTTAGCATATAGTTAAAAGTCAAGAAATAGGCTGAAAAATGAGCAAACAACAGAAAAAATTCTGATCATAGAAAGTAACTATGGCAAGGTAGACCAAAACACACAGTCAGAAGAAGACAACAAAGTCAAAATTCCTGCATCCAAAGCCTCAGTGAAAAATATTCATTGGTCTCTGGTCATGAAAGAGCTGAAAAAGGATTTTTTAAATCAAGTAAAGAGAGATAGAGGAAAAATTGGGAAGAGAAACAAGAGTGCAAGAAAATCATGCAAAAAGAGTCAACAGCTTGGTAAAGGAAGTACAAAAAAAAAAGTACTGAAGAAAATAACACGTTAAAAAACAGGATAGGCCAAATGGTAAAAGAGGCACAAAAATCCAATGAAGAGAAGAATGCCTTGAAAAGCAAAATTGGCCAAATGGAAAAGGATACATAAAAATTCACTGAAGGGAACTCCTTAAAAAGTAGAATTGACCAAATGGAAAAGGAGGTACAAAAGCTCACTAAAGAAAGTAATTCCTTGAAAGTTAGAATTGGAGAAGTGGGAAGTAATGACTTTAGGAGACATTAAGAAATAATCAAACAATCAAAAGAATAAAAAAAAAATAGAAGAAAATGTGAAATATCTCATTGGAAAAACAACTGACCTGGAAAATAGATCCAGGAGAGATCAGTTAAGAATTATTGCACTACCTCAAAATCATGATTAAAAAATGAGGCTTGACATCGTCTTTCAAGAAATTATCAAGGAAAACTGTCATGATATTCTAGAACTAGAGGGTACAATAGAAATTGAAAAAATCCACCAATCACCTCCTGAAAGAAAAATCCCCAAATGAAAACTCACAGGGACATTATAGCCAAATTCCAGACCTCCCAGATCAGGGAGAAAATACTGCAAGCAGCCAAAAAGAAATGATTCAGATATCATGGAGCCATAGTCAGGATAACACAAGATTTAGCATCTTCTACATTAAAGGATCAGAGACCTTGGAATATGATATTCCAGAAGGCAAAAGAGCTAGGATTACAACCAAAAATCACCTACTCAGCAAAACTGAGTATAATCTGTCAGGGGAAAATGGACATTCAATGAAATAGAGGGCTTTCAAACATTCCTGATGGAAAGACCAGAGTTGACTAGAAAATTTGACATTCAAATACAAAATGCAAAAGAAGCAATAAAAAGGTAAACAGGAAAGAGAAATTAAAGGGATTTGATAAGGTTAAACTGTTTCTATTCGTACATGGGAAAATTATATGTATAATACCTAAAAACTTTCTCATTATTAGGACAGTCAGAAGGAGTATACATAGACAGAAGCAGAGGTGTGAGTTGTACGTGATGGTATGATTATCTAAAAAAATTAAGGGATGATGAAAAATGCACTGGGAGAAGGGGAAAAGGAGAGGGATGGGATGAATGGGATGAATTATCTGACATAAAAGAGGCCTGAAAAATTTTACAGGGGAGGGGAATATGGGGGAAACAGGGAGGGAAGCATATAAACCTTACTCTTATTGAAATTGGCTCAAAGAGGAAATAATATACACACTTAGTAGGGTGCAGAAATCTGTCTTACCACACAGGAAAGTAGGAAGGGAAGGGGATAAGAGAAGGGTGGGGGAGCTGATGTAAGGGAGGGCAGTTTGCAGGAGGTAAATGTCAAAAGCAAAACACCTGAGAATGGACAGGGTGAAAGGAGAGAGAGAGAGCGAGAGTAGGATAAATGGAAAAATTGGATGGAAGGAAACACACAGTTGGTAATCATTACTATGAAAATAATTTTTATAATGAGTTTCTCTGATAAAAACTTCATTTCTTAAACATATAGAAAACTGAGTCAAATTTATAGAAATAGAAGCCATTCCTCAGTTGATAAATGGTCAAAGTATATGAACAGGCAGTTTTCAGACAAAGTAATCAAAGCTATTTATAGTCACATACCTACTCAATGGGGGGAGGGAGAGAATTTGAAACTTGAAATTTTTTTTAAAATGTTAAAATTATTTTATATGTAATTGAGAAAAATAAAATATTAAATAAGATTTTTAAAAGCCACGTTCTTTTGGGAAATCTTGAATCACATGGTTTTGTTTTGTTTTTTCCCCTTTTATAGGATTGGCTTGTAAAGAAAAATTTATATTTGCAACAACTTCAAAGGATTAAAAAGAATGAAGCTGAAAATTTAAGAATACAAAATGAACAGGTATCTAGAAAAATGTATAATGAAAGAAATAATGTAAATGTAAATTTTATAATTATAATAATTAAATCAACTTGTGAAAAGTATCCAGTTTTATGCATAAGTTATGGATAAAGGCACTACTTTCTATGTGCTTAGAGATGTGTTGAATACCTCTGCTATAATGTTAAACTTGGACAGTATTAGTTCTAAGAATAAAATCAGCTACTTTAACTTCCCATCATTTAATAAAACATTTTCCCAATTCATCATAAGGCTTTATGTGCTTATCACTAAGGGCAGATTACATGATTGAGATTTGACGTTTGTTTTATTGAAGTACTTAAGTGCTTTTTGGATCACCTCTAGAACTATGCTTAAGTTGTAAAACAGCAGAGTTCAGTATTTTGTAGAGTCGCCCTCAAAAAGGCAGGTCTACTTTAGAGGTTTCAATCCACATCTATGGGTTCTTGTTGATGTGCGCCATTGTAGTTGTTCTAGAAGACTTTTGTTGTTTAGTCATTTTCAGTCGTTTCTGACTCTTTGTGACCCCATTTGGGGTTTTCTTGGCAGAGATACTGGAGTGGTTTGCCATTTCCTTCTCCATCCAGCTCATTTAACAGATGAGGAAACTGAGGCAAGCAGGATTAAGTGACTTGCCTAGGGTCACACAGCTAGTAAGTGTCTGAGGCCAGATTTGAACTCAGGAAGATGGGTCTTCCTGATTCCAGGTGCTCTCTGTACTGTGCCACCTGGCTGCCCTTCTAGAAGACTAGCACACTGAAAATAGCTGCAAATTGATTGCCTCTCCAAGGTACTCTAGAAAGTTCCACATTATTCCCTTCCTTTCATGGAATATAAGCCCTAACAGATGAGTGCACCTGAGCAAGCGCAATGTTCAAACATTTGTTAGGTGCGTAAACTCTAGTCCACTGTAATACAACAAGTTAATAAGTCCTGCATTTTTTTTCTATTTGAGGTCGAGACTATTAAGTAGCAGAAAAACATCTAGGCAGGCATGAAGTTGTTAGAAGTAGGATAACTGAGGTCAGTCTGGGAGGAAATTTCTGGGCTGAGGGGAGCAGCTAGAAGCCAGGTCAAGATCAAGGTTGAGTGAAGTTTGGGAATGAAGTAACAAGACTAGAGTTTGAACACACTCAAACAAATTGTAGATCAGAACCAAGAAAGTAATCTGGAATTAGGACAAAAGTCATTAAGACATAAGATCAGGGAGGCAAACTTCCCTGGTAGGGAATGGGGAGGACACAGAAAGGAAAGTAGGAAGTATAAACCAGCAGTGTGGACATCATTGGGTCAGGCGTCCACTGAACTCCATTGTGGGTGGCAAAGGACCACCACAAGGAGTCAGGGTATAAGAAGCCAGGACCCAAGCAAAGAGAGTAGCAGTATGACATAGGATAAAAGCTAGGTAAAAACTGACAACAGACACGGGATATTCAGGAACAGAATCAGTCCAGGGAACTTTATATAATCTTCCTATGATGGGTGTTAGGTTCTGTCTTGCTTAAGTCTCATAGGTAGAATGACATAGCTCAATTGGGAAAATGTACTTAGTACCAAATACCAGATTGTATGAAGATAACTTCCTGGAAAATGGTTTTCATTTCAACACTCCACAGACCATACCTCAAAATCTGTACCATGTCACACAAATTTTAATTACCCTCTTTTATTTGGACCCTATTTTGTGCCTGACTTACACAATAGTTATTAAACCAATAATTTAGCATTCAGTCAGTTGTGATGAACATGATATTAAAATGCTCCCAGTATGTCACAGCAAATAGAGAAGCTTAATTTCATATGAAGGTAAATGAAGTAACATCATTTTTTTGTATCCACTTACTTAAGTGTTTATCAGCATGGCTAAATAGCTTAGTCACTTAGACTTCCTAGTTACCTTCTTAGCAGTGAGATTGCACATAATGCTTTTGCTCCTCACTCCCATATGTACATAGGTATATTGCCATTGTCATAAACTATACCCACTGACCTCTTTTATTATTTATTCAATATTTTCAAATATTATTTAGCATGCTACTTACTATTTATTTCAACAGAAATTCAGGGCTCCCATAATTGAGATCAAGTTCAGTTTGGTCTTTGGAACATTTTTTTATGCTGTTAAGAAGTATGTCAAGCTATAAAACATACAGATCACTTCTCTAGTAATTGACTTGCCATAGTCATTTAAAATTAATTCCTTATTTAAAAAAATTGTAAGTATGACAAATGATAAAAGTCATATAAAATGTATACATTTATCTCACCCCAATCACTTCCTTTCCTCTCTCCCTTCCTTCTTCCCCCCCCCCCCCAAAAAAAGAAAGGAACCAAGAAAGAAGAAGCATTAGCATCTTTTGAAGCCTGGAAAGCCATGAAAGAAAAGGAAGCAAAGAAAATGGCTGCAAAAAAGAAACTTGAGGAGAAAAAAATGAGGCGAATTGAACAGGAGAATGCTGAGAAGAAGGGAGAAGCACAAAAAGTAATGAAAAAATTATCTTTCATGAGATTCAATTTTAGTCAGACTTTATCAAAATTAATGATTAAAACTTGTTATCACACCACAATTGTGTTTTAGCACATAGAATACATTTTGGGAAATAAAGACTAGGAAAAAGTAAGCTATGTCATGTTCAAGGAGTAAGGAAATATTTCTAATCTTTTTAGGCTTTTGAAAAATGGAAAGAGAAAAAATTGAAATATCTTAAAGAGAAAAACAAAAAGGAGAAAGAATATGAAAGAGCAAAGAAAAGGAAAGAGGAAGAATATCATGCTGAAAAGATAAAAGACAATTTATCAGCACTTGAAAGATGGTAAAGTCAATGATTAAATATTTTAATAGCTTTAAAATATTTTAATATTTCAAGAATCTATGATCTTTTCATTTGACAGTACTTCCTCCACTGATGTGGATTCCAGTCCCTCTCTGTCTCTTGATTGACCTTCAAGGGTAACTGACACCAAAAATTGAATCACACTAAAGCCAGTCTAGTAAGAATCTTCTTTACATTGCACTGCTCGTAGATCCCATAGATAAAACCTTACAAAGAGATGCAAGGAAACTCTTGAGATCTTTTAATTCCAACCCTTTCATTTGATAAAGGAGGAAATTTGTTCAAATGACTTGGTGGGTCAAATAGGTAACAACTAGGAGAGGTGAAATTCACACTCAAGTCCTCCGACTTCTGCTGGGTCTTTCTTCTGCACTACGCACATAAAAGAGCTTCCCTTCTGGTGTAGCTTTTGAGAACTTGTCATCCCCATACCATAATGTGGCATCAGAGGGGGTCTTTGATGAAAAGCTAAGTTTTAAAACTCCTAGGTAATAAATTGATGTAGTATCATGTTGTGAGAAGAGCACCACATTTAGAGTCAAGCACATTTGGCGCGTATCCTGGCTGGGAGGTTTACTCTCTATCTGGTCTTGGCCAGACCAGTTAATCTCTCACAGGTTTACTTTTTTCATCTGTAAGACTTTTAGTATTAATTCTTACAATACCTAATTCCCATACAGTGGTGTTTTGAAGAAAACATTTTATAACTCTTAAAGCACGATGAAGAGGCAGCTCAGTGGCGCAGTGGATAAAGCACCGGCCCTGAAGTCAGGAGGACCTGAGTTCAAATTCGGCCTCAGACCAAACACTTGACACTTACTAGCTGTGTGACCTTGGGCAAGTCACTTAACCCCAACTGCCTGAAAAAAAAAGCACAATGAAAATGATGAGGTATTACTATTTCAAAGTTTAATAGGTTTTGTTATAAATTCTTGATTTCAAACAACTTCATTAAACATGTATCTATGTGTATGTGTGTATATACATTCTGTAAATATATGACAAGGCAAATGAAAAGCAAGGAAAAATGTACTTTGGAAATTCTTGTATTCTCCTTGTAATATTTCATTCTTTTATCCTATAATAATAGGTATGAGCAGAAGGACTTTCTCATCAAGCAGAAGATGAAACAGAAAATAAATGAAAGAAAAAAGCAAGAAATAAGAAGAGCTGAAAAAGAAGATAAAGATAAATTGGCTGTTAGTGAATATGAAAGGTGGCTGGTATGTATTCTTTAATATACTTCTGTTTTGTTTTTTTAATAAGCACATTTCTCAACTTATCACTTATAATCATGTATCATGTCAAGTTAATAAGCAAGTGAATTTATTAATAAGCATTATTTTTTCTAGCATTGTAATTGGTATTTTGGAATGTGCAGCTTTACTTAACGAGTATTTGCCTCCTATGCATTTCTACATTTATTAAGCACTTAACTATATTTATGTGCAGTTCTAGGGTGGGATGAGGTGTGGGGTGGGATTTAATATGATGGGGTCTTAGGTGAGCTTGCATTCTACCTCAGTTGGAGGGTAGGGGCTGAGACATCTACAAAGATAATAGGGTTATGTGACTAGAGTATATTGGAGCCAAAAACCAACCATCCAGGCTAAGTGTTCTCAAGAAATTTGAGAAGGAGAAAAAAAAAATATGGATTATGTTACAACATACAAGCAGTTCCCATGTGTTCCCTCGGGGAACACAAAGATGAATAAGGGACAGTATGGTTGCTGGGCTCAGGACAGGCATCATCATAGAGAGCTGACACTTGAGCTAGGGCTTAAAAGATAAGTAGGCCTTTGACATAGATTGAGGGAACTGGAGTTGAAGTTGAAGGCCCAGGATGAGCAAAGGTACACTCCACAAGGGGAGTCCACTTTGTTTGGCAAGCAGTAGAGCCTAAGAGTACAAAAGTAGGTTGGAGCCAGATCACAGCCTTTTTTGGGTGCCAGTCTAAGAAATTTGTACCATTTGGTACTTGAGAAGCTAGAACAAGAAGTCAAAGACTGCTCCAGGCTTTTGGGCCTAGATGGTGATCAAGATGATGGCAATGGCAATAATATCAATGGAAACTCAGAAAATTTGAAGTAGAGAGACTGAGGGGGAAGATATGTCCAGATTAAGATATGTTGGGTCAGGGACACAAAATACAGCTATCCAGGAGTCAAGCTCAGGAAGAGAGGTTGGAGCTAAGGATATGGATTGGGGAGTAATCGACACAGATGTTGAAGCCAAAGGAATAGGAGAGGGGTTTTTTTTGGTTTTTTAGTTTTTAATGGCATAAGGAATGAGTGTAAAAAGAAAGGAAAAAGAACCACCAATAACAGCAACATAAAAAATACTTATATTGAAGAGATAGGAAAAAGAGACAGAGATTATTCAAAAAAATAGTAATAGTAAAGAATATTTAGAGCTAGAAGAGATCTTAAAGACCATCTGTTATTTTAAAATTAAGAGTAGGGAAGTGCCATGCTCATGGGCACATGTAAGTAAACCAGAGGCACGATCTGAATTCAGGTTCTTTAACTGCAAATCCAATGTTTGATCACCTCTACTGTTAGCAATAATATTAACTCTAATGGAACATTGAATCTTCTAATCTGGGGTTAGGGCCAGGAAAGTTCAGGGTAACTGAAACTAAGGAAACAGTTTCACGTAAACTGTGATCAGTAGTATCAGATGATGCAGGGATATTGAGATGGATAAGTATGTTGAAAAAGCCATTGGATATTCTGATGTGGAAGGTTGTTACCCTTGAAGATAGCAATTCCAATAGAGTGCTGGAATAGGAATGCTAGTGATAGAAGCCAGATTGCAAAGGATTGATGAGTGAGTGGGTTGTGAGGAATTGTAACTAGCCAGTGGAGACTCTTGTAGACTATGCCATAAGGCAGTTCAGTTTGAAAGAAGATGATGTTAGCTTGATGAATTTAGGGAAGAATGTTTTAGGATAAGTGACACTTTTGCATAGTTGTAGGTAGAGGGGAAAGAAGAACCTGTGGAGAGAAGATTGAATATTTGTGGGAGGGTAAGAATAATTAATGAAGTAGGGTGCTTTAGTCCCATTTCAATCATTTCAACCATTTCTTCCTGGATTTCCCATCACATCAATCTAAATATGTCTAAAACTAAACATCTTTCCTATCTCTGTGAATAGTAGCAACCATCTTCTCAATCACTTAGTTTCAAGACCACAGAATTGTTTTAAAATTTATTCCATACTCCTTATTGCTAAATCTAATCAGTTTTAAAATACCATCAGCAATTTCTTCAAAATAGATTCTTTTTTTCATCAAAATTTAAACCTCATTCTTCTTTCTAGAACTTGTTTTTTAGAACTTCATTCTAAATGTTCTTCCCCTTTCATTCTTTTATCCAAACTTTTAAATTAATATTCCAAAAAGGCAACTTTGATACTACCCTGCACAAAATCTGCAGTGGTTTCCCATTTGATTTTGAAGTAAAGTATAAACTCCTTAGTTTGAGATTCAGAGTCCATTGTGCTCCAGAAAAATAAGCCCTTTTGAGATTAATCTTCCACTACTCTGATCAAAGATACTTATATTCCTGCTGAACTGGTCTGTTCACTATCCTTCTGACCTACTGTGTGCTTTACCCTGTCAGTACTTTGTTCATGCTACCTTGAGTACCTCCCCACCATCTCTCCAGATCCAATTTCTGTATATCCTACAGGGACCAGGTCAATGGTCTCCTCTTTTGTGAAGCTGTCACCTCTGATTATCCTAACAAATTTTATTGTTGTTCAGTCATTTTTAGTTATGTCTGACTCTTCATGATCACATTTAGGGTTTTCTTGGCAAAGATACTAGAGTGGTTTACCATTTTCTTCTCCAGCTCATTTATAGTTGAGGAAGCTGAGGGAAATACGGTTAAATGACTTGCCTGGCATCACAAAGCTAGTAAGTGTCTGAGACCAGATTTGAACTCAGGAAGAGTAGTCCTCCTGACTCCAGGCAGGGCACTCTATTTACTGTGCCACCTAGCTGCCCTATCCTAACCAAAGCGACTTTTATTCCTTCTGAATTCCTGAAGCATTTAGCACTCACACCATGGGCAACCATGATCCCATTAGCACTGAGCACAGTGCCTTATACCTAGTAGATATCTCATGTATGGCTGTTGAGTTAAATTGAATTACTAAACTGTAAGCTCCTGCAGGGCAAGTCTTATTTCTTATGCATCTTTGCATTCCTACATCAGATAGTTAGAAAATGTCTTCATGGAAGAATGGGAATTTAAACAGTACTTTGAGTGATAGATAGGATTGGGGTAAGCACAGAAGAAAGAAAAGGAAATTATATTATATTATATAAATTATAAATTATATTATATTATATTCAGAGAACAGTATGAATGCAAGGACAAAGTCAGCACCTGCTGTTGTGTTTGTGAGGGGATCGCCTTTGGGAAAGGAGAGATAGTATTGAAGGAAGGGTCCAGGATGCCATCATCCCTCCAGGCACCAGGATCACACCACGGAGGCCATCCCCAGCTCCCCAGTCTTATTCCCACCACATACCGAGTCAGTTTCCTAATCTTGTTTCTTTACAACCTGTCTTGTCCCCATCCCTGCCCTCACTCAGCCACCACTCTTATTTAGGCTTTTATTCTCTCACCTGAATTTTATTTCAGTTTATATTTTATTCAGAATTTTATTTCTCCTAATTGGTCTCCCTGCCTCAAATATCTCCTCATTCCATATATCCTTCATACAGTTTCCAAAGTAGTTTTTTTTTTCCTAAAGCACACATCTGAAGCCATTCCTTATACAATAAAGTCCAATTGCTCCCTCAAGGATTAAACATAAATTCCTCCATTTGACATTTAAAGATCTTCATAATCTTCCCCAAACCTCCCTTTCTAGCCTTCCTGAATTTTCCTTCCTTTTCATGCATTATGCTGCCCAGGCAAACTGAACTTAGTGTTCCTAACATGCCATGCTCATTTTGCTTACATGGACCTCTCTACCAGCTGAATGCACTCCCCTGCTTCCTTCAATATTCAGTTAAGGACTGTCCTATTCAGGAGGACTTTCCTCATCCCCACAGTTCCTGGTGCCTTCCTTCCCTGAAAATCAGCTGCATTTACATAGTCATATACTGTCTAATAAGAATTTGTAAATAAAGAATGTAAGCAGTTCTTCTATACCTGCCTTATTATATTACTATCTCACTTATCCACAGGAGCTCTTCCAAACCTTTTCATCCCTTTTCAAACCTCTTATGGCTTCCCATCCCTCCACCCAAGCTGAGAACTTTGTCTTATGATTTACAGAAAAAAATTGAGGCCATTCACCATGAAACTCCTCTTCTCCCTTCTTCCCCATCTCATGTCATCCCTACACCTTCAGTCACTATCTCCTGTCTCACATGATGAGTTAGCCTTACTCTTTACCAAAGTCAACCCCTCTGCCTGCTCATGATCTCATTCCGTCCCATCTCTTCCAACATATTGCCCCTTCTGTTATTTATTTTCAATCTATCCTGTATAATGGCTCATTCCCTACTGCCTACAGATATATTCATGTTTTCCTTATCCTGAAAAGGAAAACTTTCATCTGATCCTTCCATCTCTGCTAACTAGCATCCTATATCTCTTCTGCCTTTTGTAACTAAACTCCTTGAAAAGGTTGTCTACAATAGGTGCTTCTGCTGTCTCTTTTCTCACTGTCTTCTTAACCCCGGTCTGTTTGGCTTCTGACTTTATCATTCCACCAAAAGTGCTCTCTCCAAAGTTACCAGATCTCTTAGTTGTGCAATCCTTCCTTATTCTTCTCAACCTCTCTGCAGCAATCACTCTTTCCTCTCTAGGTTTTCAGGACATCACTCCTAGTTCTCCTCCTGACCATCCCTTCTCAGTTTCCTTTGCTGAATCCCCATCTAGATCACACCATCTTAAGAACCTAGGAGCCATTCTTGACTCTTCACTATCTCCCACCGTCCTTATCTAGTATATTGCCAAGGCCTGTCCATTTCACCTTTGCAATATCTCTCGTATGCATTCCCTTCTTTCTTTTGACACTGCTACTGCTCTGGTTCAGGCCCTCATCACCTCATACTTGGATTACTGCAATAGCCTGCTGGTGGGTCTGCCTGCCTCGAGTCTCTCCCCTTTCCAATCCATCCTCCATTCACCTGCTAAAGTGATTGCCCTGAAGCACAGGTCCAACCACATCACTTCCCCTCCCCACTCAAAAATTCCA